ACTAAAATAAACTACTACTTACTATTTGTACTACTATTCCTACTTCGCGGTTTTTCACTTATCGCGGGTCTTCAGGGTACAGATCCCCCGCGATAAACGAGGGACTACGGTATATAAGTTTGAATATAAGGGTACTAAGTTGTTGGGGTTTTTTTCCTCCAGATTTAGAGCAGATTAATAAAAGGAATAACAAACATTACCATGGCTGCATGTAGCTCCACTCCGTACAGCTCCAGATTTCGTGCTGTATTGAGAAAACACAGCTCTGCCTCGCTCTGCTTAAGTCCCCTAAAAATCCACACAGTCACACACGGCAGTAGGAACTACACAACAAAACTTGTGGAAGTTACTGTCTCAGTTACTTGTGCTTTGGATAAAGATCTTCCACTTTAGATAGGAAGTCTTCATCCTGTTTGGGGATGAAGTGGCATTTGGAGAGGTACCCAGGGTCTCTGGCTGAGCAGTGATCCCCCATCTCCGCTACAAGTAATGAAAAGAGACACTGAGCATCCATTAAAAAAACACAACAATGTATCCTGACAACTGGGTACAATGAGAGCACATCCTCCCTGGAATATTTACTCACTCAGTTATTACTGACTCATTAATCATCTTTTGTTTTGTTTTCCTGGGAAGAGATTAAACTTACACTGCACAGCGTAGGAAGCCAGCACTACAGCTGCGTCCAGCGGGCACTGCAACCTGCAATTGGATACGATGATTACACCCCGCACACATGACAGCTAAACAAATGAGTACAAGCAACTAGTTCAGTTTTGAAGCTGCATTACTGACCGTCCCTCTCTAACATCGCTCCTGATCTGGAGGAAGTACAGGTGCCTGCAGGGACAAACACAAAGGGAACTTTACCTGCCCACACATGTTTTGTATATCATGCAAAAAGCTCTCTTTGGCATCAAACACTAATTTTCCAGCAGCAGCAGCCTAGCTGTACCTCTCCACCAAGTAGACACGTCCACACAGAAATGATCCAACAGGTACAGTAATAAATGAAAGTTTGTGAGATTGTCTATGAAGAATACTGACAACTGTGTTCATATTTCAATTATTTAAAAGGTGAAATAAAAAATGAACTTGTATACAATTCTGTGCAGAAATTTCAGGTAATCTGACAGTAATGAACAAATATATAATTTAATTGCGTTGGTGGATATACAGTCACAAGAAAACAGGGCATCCCTTATTAAAATATCTATTAATGTGAATAATTACATTACATTCAAAATACACCAACTCCTTTACCTTTTTTTTTGTTTGGTTGGTTTTGGCCCCATAAATCAGCTTTCCAATAACTTTCCCCAGGTTCTTACACATAAATCTTTCTTTTCATTTGCACACAGCTAATATTAGTAAAGATAAAATTGTGCTAATTTATACTTTTTTGTATACTTTGACTCCTCAAACCTTGTGCCAACAATCATCCATCACAGGTTTCTTTGAGCAGCTGCCCAAGCTGACTATTAGAAAAACTAAAGTCCATAAGGAACACAAAGTTATAAAATGATATACACTTTCATAGTATCTGTTCATTTTATTTATTTTTCTTCATAATTAAGAAAATACTTTTTTATGAGAACTGTCTTCAGAGAATACAATTCCTGATAAATAAATAAATATATATATATATATATATATATATATATATATATGTATGTATGTGTGTGTGTGTGTGTGTGTGTGTGTGTATATGTATATATATTTATTTATTTATTTTTTAAACTTCAAATAATTTAACAGGTGGTGGTTTTTACTGTCCACTTAAACAATATTGCTTTTATGCAATATTTTACCATTCCTGAACACGACAAAAATTAGTGTCAGAAGTATATTACTGAACTTCAAAACATGATGAAATATTTCAACAAATTATTTTGACAGATTACGTAAAAGTGCTGGTGCATGTTCCTGTTTTTAGTATTTTACATCACTTTATAATGTAGCTGTTGTTGTTAATTTTTTTTTATAATTTTCTTCCATTAACTTTTCATATGCTTTTCATGATTGTTTACTGTTGTCATCTGTGTTCTTTGTTTAAAACAGATCTCTCTTGTAAATGAGTCCTCGAGGCTCAATAAGACTAACTTACATGGACAATCCCAAAAAAAAAAGGTTAATTCAATTCTTTATTGAATTGATAAAGCCTCCCAGATGGGAAGCAAAACATCTTCACCTTCAGAATAGAAGTCCAGTTGTTTTTGTTTTTAAATCGTTTTTTTGGAATTATGTAAAAAGTCTAACTCTGGTTATACTGTGCAAATGTACTTTGTACTTGCACACTGGAAAACAAAATAAAATACCTTCATAACAGCCCCATTGTGTCCAAGTCATGCTTTGAGTTCGAGTTACAGCAGGATGTATAACAAACAACGATATAGGGAAGACACCAGGACATTAAGGAAGAAAATATTACAGTTTGTTAGGAAAATAAAACTGACTCACAATTCAAAACAGACCACCTAATGAGAAGTTATGTTAAAGCAGTAGTTCTAAAATCGTGGAGTGCAGTGGACCAGGACATTGAGCCATGCCAGGATAGTGCAAGGTCGCTGAAATGTTTTTATCCTCCAGGCCAAAACATTTAGCAGGCGGAACTAACTTTGCAACGCTTTGTTGCAGCCCAAACCTATTTTAGGGATGCTCAAAACAATTAATAAAAAAAATCTATCTATTATTATATTTGTTATTTTATATATTTTCTGGAGTGTAAGTTTAGAAATTGGAGGGGTATGTTATCGCTAAAATGAAGGATTTTAATGGAGGATTGCAAAACCGAGTTAATTTGTCGCGTTTTAAAAAAAGGTACGAAGGAGACGTCCGTCACACATTTAATGCGTCAAAGCTCCAAGTCAACCCAGCTGAGGTGAGTTCTCCTCCACGCCTCAATGCTTGCATCGTTTCGTGCTCACACGGCGCCCAAACACTTTTTGGTACAACAGCAACATAAAAATCTGTTTAACAAAAACTGAATGTTTTAACCTGATCTGAAACCCTGTGCCAGCACTGACCATAAAAGGAGCTCAAACTGAGCATTAAACATTGTAGAAATGGGTTATTTTAAAAATAATACTTTTTGAAAACCTAATTTTCATCTACTCAATTCTTTGGTCACAGTAACAGAACCTTGAGTAAAGGACATCAAAGCACTGGCCTTGATACAGATATCAAATCAGAGTTTCATCAAAACGACAATTTTTATGCCGCTTATTACATTTAAATTAAACTTCAGTCTAACCGCTTGAATGCTTGTAGCATTTTCAGTGCCTTTTATTTAAAGCAGGAGTTTTAATCAGTATAGAGTGTTATATTGTCACAACAGAAAAGTCCATGGACCAACCTTGTCTGCTCATGCTGCAGAGAGTTGGGCTCAGATACGAAGAATCGTACTCTGAAGTTCAGATAAAAGGGGCTTACGAGACCTGCAGAGAAATGTCACGTCAAAAAATAGCCTCTGTACTTATAGTCATGACACATTATTTGTTACGTTTACTTTTTATCTTTGCATTTAAAGACAGTTTAAAACTAATGAAGGTGAAAACTGTTCTCCTGCCCCCAAGCAATAACTGATGAGATACCTTTAATCTGCTTCTTCAAGGGCTTCTCAGACTCCAACCATCTCTAAATGAAAGACATTCATTAGGCATAATGGCTGTTCTGAGCTAAAATAAAAAACATTTACGTAAGTGCGCCCCGTGGTTCTCATCAGCTGAACTGCAATCAGCCGGTGCGAGGCATTATTACAAACTCAGACCCAAAATGTGCAGCAGATGAACAGTGAGCTCACAGGAGAGTGTGTGTTGGCTGAGCTGGAGGCGATGGCTGTGCTGGCCTCTCTGATCTGCAGACTGAAGAGCTGCCTCTCCTGCAGGTCCAGGTGGTCAAATACCAGGTCCAACAGAACCTCACCTTGATCCTGCTTCTGAAAGACGGAACAACAAACGCCATTACAGACAGCCAAACTTTATGGCTGCTTATTTATGCACATGAATATACCCCTAAATGTCTTGCGTTCTTTGTGAGTTGCAGTTTGTTGTGAAATTTGAGAGAATAAATCATATTTTTACTACTTGGTCTTTGTTACCATTGGCAAATTATGGACACCAAGGTAACCGTATGTCTCTCACTCCCTGACAACAAACCTAAGAGTGGTAGACAGAAACAGACTGAAAAGTACCGTACTTTCTGTTGTACATGTCACACCGCCGTATAAGTTGCATCAGTCCAAATATGTCTAATAAAGTGTAAAAAAGATAAATAAGTTGCTTTGCCATATAAGTCGCATCTATTATGCGTCACCACTGACGCATCACGTTTGTTATGCGTCACCACTGACCGCCTGGAAATGTGGGCCAGTGTTGTGCCAAAAATCGATTGGCTGCCAAAGGGCAGCCACGAGAGCATGCACGGGAGGACTTTAACGAGAGTTTTACAAGATTAACACTTAAAAACAAATATTTGTTTGCTCGACAATACGCCAAAGGTGTGTCTCAGTTTAACTTTTCCTTAATAAATGCACTGAAATGCGCTGCATTTCATCTGGGCGGCGCGGCGAAATGCAGCCGATTTGATGTTTGCTCCAGGAGTTCCAGAGAGAGACGAAGGTGGCCTCTATGGCACGTCAAGTGTCTCATTAATAACCACTTTTACCTATTAATGAGACATTTGACTTGCCATAAAGCTTGAGGGCCCTCTAGTGGCTGCAAATGGTAGTGTTCAATATTTTTCATGTCAGAATGAATGAAATTGTCAGACATCAGCCAAAAACTGGGTTATAAATATAGGAAAAAAAACGTATATTAGTAAATTCCGTGTATAAGTTGCAAAACTTGCAAATGTATGCAAAAAGGTGCAACTTATATGGCAAAAACTACGGTAAGATCAAACAGTCGCTGTGTAAAAACTGAGTTGCATATTGAAAAATTATCAAAGTCCTAGAGCCGTGAGACCCACTGAGTAAAAGAACTAAATAAAACCACAGTATAATTCTATAATATAATAATGGTAGATGAGATAATAATGTATAATTTGTAAATGTATTTAAAAAAATTGGTGGAGTAAAAATACTTTGCAAAAAAAAAAAAGGGGGGGGGGGGGCAACCGTCAATTGAATTTTAGGTGAAAGTCTCCAAAAGTGATCAAACTTAAACAGTGATTGTGTAAAAACCGTACAACCTATCAAAATGTCATTTCAGTCACA